TATAAGTGTGTTATGGTTGTTACTATTTTAAATGTTGATATGTCAAAATATTGTTGAAGAGGTTGATAAGTTATCAACGATTATGTCGCAAATGTGTTGAATGATTAACATGTGTGTATTTGATTTAAATCGTGTCGAGTTATTGTTGTGTCGAGAAAGTAGTGGTCAAAGTGTTACCAGACGCGAATTGGGGACCAGAGAGTGTGATACGAAATTCACGTTAAGAGTGGTAGTATCGAGTAGATTTTCGAGGACGAAAATACTCTAAGTGGGGTAGAATTGTAACGCTCGATAATTTAATTAATTATTTAATTAAATTATTTTTAAATTATTTGTCGAAATGTGTGAGATGTTTCTATATGTTGCCAAGTTGTTATTTAATTGATTATTTTAGTTGATTAATAATATTGGTAATAATATTAGAATTATAGAATATTACTAATATTAGAATAATATAAGATTAAGTTGCTGGGCTTAGTTATATGGTGGTACGAAGTAAGGTGTGGGTGTGTAAGTAGGCCTAAATGTGATTAATGAAATAAGGTTAAGTTGATATAAGAAATTAGGTTAATTAGAAAGATTAAGAAAGTCTTGGAGCAGTAACGTATGAAGTGGTAGAGAAGAGGAACAAGGAAAAGAGGCAAAGCTAGGTTCGATCGGAAAATTGTAGAGCGACCTTCAATCCAAGGTAAGGGTGGAGTTCTGACTCTATAGGGGGAATCATGATGAATATTATGTAGGAATTGGGTTGGCGTAATGTTGATGTGCATATATTGTTATTGCTGTTTCTGAAATTGGTTGTTATCATATTTTGGATGTTCCTGAATTGTTTGCAGAATTAACTATCGGTTGTTGGAAATCATAATATTACTAATATAGTCGTTATGTTGCTATGTCGATGTAATACTGCATTGTATCATTTGTTATGAACATACTGTTAATCAAAGGAAGATTTGGAGAATTTTGTGTTTGAATTAGTAAGCCTATGAAGAAAATGCATGAGAAACACTTTGTGTCGAGGGACACACGAGCATGCCGACCAACATTGTATGGAGAGGAGTGTGCCAAGCAGCCCAACTCCATGACGAGCGGCACAACCTTTTAGTTTTGGTGCCGATGGGCACAATTGGGTGACGAGGTGACGAGGGGCACACCCATAAACCTCTATTTTCCTTTGTTTGTTTTGAGTGTTTCCTATGTCTGTTACCTTATTAGTTGATTACTAATTGTTATCAGAGTTAAGGAATTATGGATAGCAGAGATTAAGTAATCAATACTTCTTATGGTCTTAGCATGTTAATCCACAGAAGAATAATTAAATAACTACAGAGTATGTATATATATATATATATATATATATATATATATATATATATATATATATATATATATATATATATATATATATATATATATATATATATATATATATATATATATATATATATATATATATATATATATATATATATATATATATATATATATATATATATATATATATATATATATATATATATATATATATATATATATATATATATATATATATATATATATATATATATATATATATATATATTAAATTAGTTACAGAATTGTTATGTAGCAGAGTTAGCAAAAATAAATAATAGCAGAAACTATTTGTTAGTTACCGAAGTAAAAAAATTGTAGATTAGCATATATAGCAGGTAGGATTAATAGATGACCGAGTCAAAATGCTTTAGCAGGGACAATTATTAAGTTACTGTGTTGATGCTGTTGTTAGTTGCGAAGTTGCGGGTAGTGATGAATTTTGTTGTGTTGCCTGTATTGATTGGCTAAAACCAAGTTGTAGACTATTAACAGTAAAATAATAGCAGAGATAATTCATGGTAGTAGAAGATGATTCATAGTAGGAGGATGTAATTGCAGGAACCTTATCGGAAAACTATAAACAATATAATAGCATAGTACATGTAGCAGGAATAAGTTGACAGTAGGAGTTAATTGTGAAATAGTAACAGAAAGCTATTAACAATAAAACGACAATAGAGAATTAATTAGTAGCACTAGCAGTAGTAGAAATTGTTGATAGCAGTACTAACTTATATAATAGTTGCAGCAGGTTAATATTAGAGGAACCGTCGCAGAACGTCTAATAGTCGAATATAGACGTATAACTGAATAATTATGTAGTGTTATTGTAATGGGTTTCAATTGTATTTGAGAATTTTACAATGTTGTTGTAATATCAATATTGTTGACGATGTGAAGTTGTAGGATATACCAATGTTGTTGAAATGCCTCTAATTCTTGGCAGATATTATGTTGTGGGCTTACGGCCAAAGTTGAATTATGTTGAGTTAATATTGAATTGTTGTTGATGTTATAGGCTTATGGCCAATGTTGATTTATGTTGAGTTGTTATTTGTTGTTGTTGTTGCTACATTCATGTTGTGTCGCATACACTGCATATCAAGTTGGAGTCGATGCTCGTCAAGTTGGTCTGGATTAGAAAAATATTAAGTTGAAGGCTTATGCCTTGTTGATGCCTTTATTAATTGGCAGATTATTAAGTTGGGAGTTTTGTTCCGTTGGTAACACATGCACGCGCATAAAAATCAAGTCGCATTTCATGTTGCATACTGAGTTGTTGTATGGAAGAATTAGTTGTGTTGAATGTTGTTAAAAAACCGTGAAGTGGTGATTGTTATATGAACTGATTCTAGTATATTATTCATCATACATTCTATTATATTTTTTGATATCTCACCCCTTCTGTTTGAATGTTACACCTATGTTGATAACGTGCAGGTAATCCAGAGTGAAGGTTGTTTACCTTTAGTATTTTGATTCGGTGTCATCGCTTTGGTACGTAACACTCAGGGGATGAATACTTGTTGCTTTATTGTTGATTTTACTCACGTTGTTGAATTTTAAGTTGATTTTGTTAAGTACTTTGTTGTTTCTAAAGTTGTTTTCAGTTGGACAAAGATGTTATGTCATTAGAGTTGAAAATTGTGATTCTGCTGCTTGAGTAATAAAGTTGTTTCGTTTTAAAGACTAAAATTGTTGCTATTTGTTCATCCGATGATTCAAGTGTTATGTATCTATTTTATATGCGATTAGATGTCGTTGTTATAAGTTGAAAGTGTATCATTTCATTGTTTGTTGGAAATTTTATAACTCTGATTTTATCAATATTCGCCGGGTAAAAATGGGGTATTACACACAACACTTTTGAAGAAGACAATGAACGCCACTAAGAAGTTAGTAACTGAATTCTAGCTACTTATGACTTCATGTTTCTTATGACTTCATTAAGTCACAACTAAAGTTATAACTGAAATCAGTCAAAAGATGGAAGAATTAGGTAACTTTTGAATTGTTTTGTTCTTTTTCCAAGTGTGTCCTTTTGAACATGTTGAGAAAATTGGGTGATCAGAATTAGGTAACTTTATTTTTCAAATATGACAGACAAAAAGAAGGCGAAAACTTCGTAACTTTATCTTATATATAACTCTGGCCTGTTTTATGCTTACAACAGTAGCTGTAGGTAAGCAACAAATTGACATATAGAACCCTAGCCTATTTGAGTGACTTTTCTTTTTAATTGAATTACAAGATGCTAATATATATTTTTGCAATGCTAAAATAGGGCCAACCTAACAGTATAGTGCACAACATTGAGAATACGGTTCAAGACACTCCAAACTGAATGGAAAACTGTTTGGAGGAGTCTTTAAAAGTTGTTTAGGGTTCAAGACACTCCAAAATACCGCTGCCGAATGAGAAACCGAATCAGGTAAAGAACATGTTTTGGTCTTGGTGGCTTTCATGTTGTTCATGATATTTCTTCTAGTATAGAAACAAAAACAAGTTAATTTGGTCTTGGTCTTTGTCTGTAATATGCACTTGATGCTCTAACAGTTATGCACTTGAAATTCATGATTTGTAGTTTGTTGTGTCTTGAAATATTACATATATTGTGAAGGTATATTAAGAGAATTAAAGGTATATTGTGACTAATTTAACGCTTTGGTAACTCATGTATTTGTACATATATTTGTATTGTAGGAATTAAAGAAAATGAGAGAAAACGATTATGAAGCTCAAGAAAGATAACTCATATTTTATATTAATTGTGCTGACAAATTTGTGTTTGGTTGATTGTGTTTGTGATATTAAATTTAAACTGGTTGTATTAAATTTAAGCAAATATTTATATGCTAAAAAAACTTAGATTTTATATGATTCTTAAATGTGTTCGAATTTTATATGCTATTTGGTTAGGTAAATGCTACTGAATTTAAATTTGATTCAGTTTTAAAGTTTGTCAAGTCAGTTTTAAAGTTTGATGAAATTGAATTTAAAATTCATCCAATATAAATTTGTTTTAAAGTCTGAATTCAAATAATTATTTTAAAGTAAATGTTTGTAAAGATAAGACCCATATTCTAATAAATTTAGAAACAGTAGATATGTAAAAAATAAAAAGACTCAATTCAAGTTGTAATTGGGTTTGAAATTTGAGCCAAAAAATTATATATAGATTGTTAATCTGGATAAAAAAAATTAGAAAAACAACTATTGAATTTTGTTATTTGGGCTAGATTTAGAATTGGTCCAACAACAATAATCCGGCCCAGTTACCCGAACAGCTTGAATCCAAATTCGAAAAAAATCGATATTAGATGAAGTCGAAATTGGGCCATTATATGTCACTCAAGAGTTGGGCCGAATTGAGGTTTAAGGCCCGAATCCTACCTTATCCAACCGCCTGTCCACCCCTAGAGGCACGGTAAAGCAAATATTCATTGTTTCGTGACTCGATGTGAACATATTGATGCTCTAAATAAAAAGAGAAAACAAAAATGATGTTATCAGCGAACTTGCCCTTAATTTATAGTTATAATTACGATAGTGACATTCGTTGTTGATGTACTACATTCTGTGGTTCAATTGAAGTAACCTTTTTGAATCGCAATGAATCAATGACCAAGCTCCACTGAAACACTATGACGATAACAACAACAACAACATCGTCTCCAACGTTTCTGTGCTCGTTCCATTCACCCAATTCTTCAGTCCCAAAATCATCTCTCTATCGTCCCCAATGGCGTCTACTAAAACCGTTTCACTATTCTTTCAGCTCCACCAATTTGCTCTCTTCTGCAAAACCACTCGTTTCCAGTTCGAGAAGAGCCCACCTGTGCTCCGCAGGTCGCCGGGAACCAACAGAGTTAGCCACATCCTCTTCCACCAAAGAGGAAGATGACAATCTCAGGAGAGTTGTTCAAATTGGGTTGTGGGGTGCTGAGGTTGCCTATGTTTTGTGGCTCTTCTTGCTTCCCTATGCTCCTGTATGTACTCTTTTTCTTCTGTTCAATATTATCTTTATATCTTAGCTTGTGTTACACCGTAGATATGCTGTCTTGAATTATTATCTATCTTTACCTAGGTAGAAATTAAACCTGTGATTGTATATAGAGGTTGACTTCAACCTTATGATGATTTTTGTGTTCAACCACACCATTTTGATAGTGATTATGGTGGAAATGGTTGGTTGGAGGGTGAAGGTTTGAAGAGGTTAGGATGCGGAAAGTGGTGTTTATCGAAGATAACATCCTTAGATTTGTCAACTCTATCATCAGGTGCAAGACACCAATAACCTTTGTGAAGGTGGAGTATCCTAAAAAATGCACTCCTAAGATCTAAACTAAGGTTTGCGTTTGCTGTAATGTCTTAGAAGAGGGAAGAAGGAGCAACCAGATGACCTAAGAAACTTGTATTCAGGTGGATGACCAAATAGTTTGGTGTAGGGAACTTTAAACTTTGGAGATGAGGTTGAAAAAGTCTATTATTGAGATACACACCCTGGTGCCAAAGGCAGCATCCCAAAATCTGAAGGGCATTGAAGCCTGAGATGGGAGTGTGACCCCATTTCCATTATGCATGTGTTTTCTTTCCACAACACCATTCTAGTGATGATTTTATGGATAGATAACATAATGGTGCCACAACACCATTCTAGTGATGAGTTTGTGGATAGATAACACGATGGTGAATGCCCACGTTGAGTGAAGGGACGAAATTCCCTGCCCCAATCAGTTTGAACTTCTTTAATTTTGAATGGAAATTGAAGATCCAACATGAGCTTGAGTTGCTCAAATATAGTGAGTGCCTCAGATTTTCTTTTTAGAAAGTAAATCCATGTTAAACTTGTGTATGCATCCGCAAAAGTAATAAAGTACGGAAAATCATTTGTGGAGGTGAAGGGAGCTGGGCCCATAAGTCACTGCGGACTAGTGCAAGTAGTGATGTGTAGGTAGTGGTAGATAGAGAGTTGAGAAGGAAGCATATGTGCTTTCCCTAAACAACATGAAGAGCAAAAATCTAATGCTCCTTTATTTGAAAATGGAATACTACAACTAATGAGCATAATCCTTTGGACATCAAGACAATGATGACTAAGTCTTGAATGCAACTGAGAGTAGGAATTTGTACACCTACCAGAAATTGAATTAACACAAGAAAAAACAATATTGATGATAATAGTCAAAGCTGATGATTGAGTCATGAGGATTGGGAACATGTAGAGACCATCAATACCCAATTTTCCTTGAAAAAGAACTTCCTCAGTAGCTTGAGGTTTCACAACACATTTGTCAGAGTGAAATTCAAAGAATACTTTATTTTTTTTTGCAAATTTACTCACTGTTTATCTCTGGTTTTGGCAAACAATGCTGGTCTTTTAACAAAAAGTTTATTGGTGAGATCGACAAGGGAATCTCAATACATTATTTCAGTTTTCGAGTCTTTTTCACAAAGCATATTCAAAAGGGTTCGTTCGATTAAGGCGAAACGAATTTAAAAACAATAAAGTAGGACTTGTAAAATAAAACAAAAGACGTTTTAAACTGTAAAAATAGATGACATAACACCAAAATAGTTGAAAATGGGTTGATTCAAACGTACATTTCCCTAACTTGACTCATTTCGCTCGTTCGCTTGGGTACTCTGAGTGACTGGCGTGTAGGAATGTGAAAGTTTGAACCTTTGACACTATACACTAAGTGCTTTATTTATAATACAAAAAATAACTACTTTTCAGCGGGTTTCACTTCTTCATAAGCCACGTGTCTCTTGTAACTTCCCTCCATGAATCCACGTTCTCCATCCCTACTATCGAACCCACGTTCTCCACCTATAACACTTTGCTTTGTTAGTTATGCACTCTTTGGGATTTTTAACATTCCCGGGCCCAACCTTTTCCTTATGAGGCCTCTTTTCTGGTCGACTGCGTCCACAAGCCCAATTGACTATTTGTGAAATCTCTCCCGGTCGTCTGCTTCTGTAGTAGACTTCCTATAATTCAAAGTTCTCAAAGAAACTTTTTGACTTTTGGTTGGATTTTAACTCTTTGTGAAAATCTTAACCAACAAATTGCCCCCCAAAATGTCCTTTTCGACTGCAAGAACAGAAACAAACATTTTAATCCTTTCTCTTAGTGCGAAGTGACATCATCGTAATTATGACCTTTTCCCTCAAACGTTACATAAGCGATCACACAACCACTTCTCCACTTTCTAACTTCAACTTCCTAAGATAATCGTGACCCTAACTAACCAACTCCTTCAATCTAGTCGCCACTTGTTTGATACGTGCCGGTCGTGTAGCCATATTTTTTCCACTTTCTTCCCAAACGTTCGGTTTCCTTGATGGTATAAATACCCCTTTCATCTCTTCATTTTCCTCTCTACGTTTTCTCTGTATACTCAAACTCTTTGTTTTTTGTACACAAAAGAAATTCTTAGTTTCATTTCTATCCAGAAAAAAATTTCCACCATCTTCATGGCCGCTTCAAGCCAAATCTCTGAGCACATTCAAACTCCCCAGGAAATTGAACTGCTTCGTTCATGATCAAAATACCTTCTTTTTGGAACCAACGCCAACACGAAATCTCCAAACTTTTCGCTCCCAACTGTTGCTTCCCTTCATCTATAACAACATTGTTTACGCTCTATTGGAGCCTATTCCTGATAAGATTAGGGCACTTAAACAATTGAAAAGTTGCTTCCCCACTCATAAAACTACAAAATCCCCTATCAACAAAGATTTCCCTATAGATTTTTCACACATCTACCGGACATCTAAAGTCTTCCGCTCCGCTCCCGCTGTTAACCAAGATTACATTGCATGGTTGAATTAAGTGGAGAAAGTTAAAGGTGACGTTTGGAAGGCCCAAGACATTTTTGACTTGATTCAACTTTCTAGGGTTGGCCCTAGTTATTGCAATCACATGCTGATTTCTGCACTCTATTTCTGGGAAGGCTCCACAAACACTTTCCATTTTGCAGCTGGAATACTTACTCCTACCCTGTTCGACATTGCGACCATCACTGGTCTCCGCCCCACAGGTGATGCGCTCTTTCCCACTGAAACAGGCGAAAATGTCATCCCTTTTGAAAAGGACATCACTGGCTTCACCAAATATATGGAGCGTTTTCACGCTAAAGATATCGACACTGTGTTTGACGAAGAGCACATTGCCTTCTTGGCCTTGTGACTTTCCAAGTATGTCTTCTGCAGTCGATCTCTGAAGGTAGCTAAACGATTCATTGCGTTAGCTCATCACCTCCATCTGGATCGAAACATATGCCCGAGCAAACTTATTTTGGGGTCACTCTATGAATCGCTCAGCGTGGCGGTCGATCATATGACCTCATTTTCATCTACTGCCAGCTATCTGCTTGCTAGGCCTTTCTGGCTGCTTCAATTGTGATTAAATGCCACTTTTGCGAACCAACTCAAACTGCGCCTTTCTGAAGCACATGAGACTGCATTTGTCCAACGTGCAAACGAAACCTTCGACTTGCTGCAATGACGCCTTCTAACAATGACATGACTCGAGAGGAGTTACTTGAGAAATACCTGGAGTTTTTCTTTAGGTGCACTTCTTTTTAGCCAAGCATGGCGCCCTTTGCCTCTAGACCACATGGTCCTGAGTGGTTCACTCGACCATTTTCTCCCGTCGATCCTACGCAGATCCCTGAATCCAAAGTCATTTGACAAGCCTTCTTAAGCCCTTGGCTCATAGTATCTAGGGTATGAGCTAATGATGGCGTAACACTCCTGTGTTGTCAGCCTAATCTAGTGACTAGGCAGTTTGACTTGTGCCAACCTTTGTCTCGCAGCTTTTCTAAGCCATCAGATGAACTGTGCCTTTCGTCCACCAGCTACAGTGAGGGAGAACTTGCTCAACGACTTCAACATTTTGCTGCTGACGTCCCCAATATGACTCCTGTCGTCTTCGAACCCCTCTTCACACCACTAAGGAGTTCTATGATTGGTGGACTGTGCAATTCGTGCAAAGTAATGAGACTCTCAAGTCCTTCAAGGCTCGACTGAACCATGCTTTTGAAGCTATGCAGCAAAAGTTTAGGAAAGGTATGGCTTACTATTGTGACTTCCATTCGCCTTCTTGTTTGCCTTCTCGCTTCTTTATGTTTTTGACTTCTAACGCTTCGTCTTATGTTATTTCCTCATTCAGCGGTTGAGCACAAGAAACGTGTCAGGGAAGCTATCAGTGGTGCGACTGTTTCTCCTTCAACTAATGAAGCTCTTGGAACTTCTTCTCAGGTAATCTGCTAATTTGATGGTTTACTAACTGTCTGCGTTCTCTTTCTAACCCTCTGATTATGTTGACACATTCGTAGGCCCCTGAAGCTAACGTCATCGTCCCTCTTGAACCATCCCCAATGAGACGAAAACACTCTTCTAACCAAGAGAAACGAGCTGACAACGCGTCTTCGCCGACCATCCCCAAAAAATCTAAAAAATCTCAGTCGACTCGATCTGAGGTTGTCTCAAAAAATGTCACTTCTGCCACTGTGCCTGCTCCAGTGGTAGCAAAAGAACGAGTTTTGCAGCCTGCACCAACTTGACCAGAGAGCATTAACTCTAGTCCTGAAGGAGACCATCAGATACCTTCTTCTTCAAAGACTCTTTATCTTAGGAATTATTTGTCCCTTTTATGATTTTGTTCTTACTTGCCTTTATTGTTTCAGTGACTGGCAGTTAAACCTAAAAAACGCCATACCAAGATTGTCTTGAAATCTTCCAAGACCAAAAAGAAACCAACTGTGGTCTTAACTGATAGCGAGCCTTCTGGGAGCGACCTCAACTCTCCTATCATTCAGGGTACTTCTGAATATTCTCCCATCAGTGAAGGACTGGAGGACGATGCCAATAATGACAGTCTGGGGGAGAATACTGGAGATGATGGCCTAAAGAGTCTTGAACAAACTGTTGCTGTTGATGTCACCACAACTACCAACCAAAATCCCTTCCAAACAGAAGAAGTGACTCCACAGGCAACTACCACTTTTGACACCATTTCAACCCCTCCCAACGTGATTCCTGCAACCACCATCATGTCGCCCCAACAAGTTGTTGCTCTAAGGAAAAACAGCCCCTTTGAGTACTTGAAATTTT